AGAGAGGACATACTAGAGGTCTCATCCACTGAGGCAATATGGGTAAAGCTCAAAAATAAGAAAGGTGCAATCACTCTGATGGAATTATACTATAGGCCCCTTGTAGCCATCAGGGCATTGAGAAACAGATATGTACCAGATTATGGAAAGATGCCAAAACAACAGGGTTATCACAGTGGGTGAATTTAACTTCCCCAATATTGACTGGTAATTCCTTAGAGCAAAATGCTTAGATGGGGGCACAGTTTGTTAGGTGCATCCAAGAAAGTTTCTTGAAATAGTATGTGGATAATCCACTGAAGGAGGGGCCATACTGAACATTGTATTGGCAAATGAGACAAAAAAACTGTAGATGCTGGAATCCAATATAGACAAACAGGAGGCTAGAAGAAAACGGCAAGCCAGGCAACACCTGGAGGAAAGGAGCAGTCAGCATTTTGGGTATAACCCTTCTTAAGGACTGGTTACACATCCCTGAACACTGCAGGCAATTTAGCATGGCCAATCCACCTAACCTGCACATCTTTCGACTGTGGGAGGAAACCGGAGCACCCAGAGGAAACCCACACAGATATGGGGAGAGTGTGCAAACTCCACACAGACAGTCACCCAAGGGTGGAATTGAACCTGGGTCCCTAATGCTGTGAGACAGCAGTGCTAACCACTGAGCCACCGTGCCGCCCTATGACTAGTTTAGCTTGGTGTCATTGTTCAGCACAACATCGCGGGCAGAACTGTGCTGCACTGTTCTGCGTTCTATTGTCTATATATTTCTAAATATATACTGAGAAGTATCCTTCATGTGCACTGGAAAAAAATACAACTTACGTCAGAATATACATTGAGAAATATATCTAAATATATGTGGAAAATACTCCTAAATATAAACCAGGAAACACCACCGTGTACATCTAAATATACACTGAGAAATACCCCTGAATAAAAACTGTGAAACACGGCAAAATGCATCTAAATATGCACCTGTTCAATGACACCCTGTTCGGGTTCTGCCAAGGCCACTCAGTTGCTGACCTCTTTACAGCGTTGAATCAAATATGGACAATACAGCTGAATTTCAGAGGTTGAGGTGAGAGTGATAGCCCTTGACATAAAGACTGCAATTGACCAAGTGTGGCATCAAGGGGCCCTAGAAAAACTAGAATCAGCAAAACGAGAATCAAAACTAGAAAACAAGAATAGGGTATCAGTTGGCAAACTCACCACTGGTTGGCGGCATATGTGGCACATAAGAAAATGGTTGTTTAGTTGGACGTCAGTCATCGCAGTTCTGCAGGAGTTTCTCAGGGTAGTGTCCTCAGCCCAACCATTTTTAGCTGCTTCACCAATGACCTTCGTTCCATCATAAGGCCAGAAAAGAGGATTGTCACTGATGATTGCACAATGTTCAGCACCATTCATGACTCCTCATCCTGAAGCAATCCAAGTTCAATTCAACAAGGTCTGGACAATATCCAGGCTTGGGCTGAAAGTGGCAAGTAAAATTCGCGCCACGTAAATGCCAAGCAATGACCATCTCCAGTAAGAGATAATCGAATGACCACTCCGTGACATTCAATGGTGTCAGTAATCCTGAATCCCTCACTATCAATATCTTTGGGGTTACCATTGACCAGAAACTCAACTGGACTTGCTACATCAACAAAGTGGCTGCAAGAACTGGTCAGAGGTTAAGAACACTGCAGCATGTAAGTCATCTCCTGATTTCCTCAAAGCTTGTCCACCATCTGCAAGGCATAGTCAGGAGTGTGATGGAATACTCCCCACTGGCTTGGATTGGTATAGCTCCAACAACACTCAAGAAACTTGACACCATCCAGGACAGCAGCCGGCTTGATTGGCACCACATCCAAATGCATTCACTCTCTCCACCACTGATGCTCAGTAGCTGCAGTGTGTACTATCTACACGATGCATTGCATAAATTCACCAAAGATCCTTAGACAGAACCTTCCAGGTCCACAGCCACTTCTATCAGAAGGAGGGGCAGCAGATACATGGAAACACCACCCCCTGGAAGTTCCTTTCCAAGACATTCACCATCCTGGCATGGAAATATATTTCCATTCTTTCACTACCTCTGCAGCAAAATCCTAGAATTTCCTCACTAAGGGCATTGTGGATCAATGTATAGAACATGGACTACAGCGGTTCAAGAACGCAGCCCATCACCACCTTCTCAAGGGCAACTAGGGATGGGCAATTAATGCTGGTCAGCAAGCGATACCCATGCCCCACCACTGTAGAAAATATGTACTCTTGCATGTAGATTATCAGGCTTTGGGGATTTATCAGCCTTCAATCCCATCAATTTCTTCAACACCATTTTCCTACTTAATTTTGCTTACTCTTTTTCATGTTAAATAATTAAAAGATATGAAGCTATTGCAGGATAATGGCATTGATGTAGAAGTTTTGTAATCGTTAAATAGCAGAGCAGGCCAGAGGGGCCAAATGACTTTCTTCTACTTTTACTTTCTATTGCATTATAAAAGGATGTGAAAAAAGAGCCTTTTTTACACAGTGAGTGGTAATGACTGCTTCAGTAATGAACTGTTTAGGAGGATGGTGGAAGCAGAGACAAAGAATGGTTCCAAAATGGAATAGGATGGGCACTTGTGGGAAATCAGCTTGCAGGGCTATGGATATTCATGCAGTGGCTTTTCAAATGAGCATCATTATCTGGTGCCAATCTCCTGTTTTTTCCCCATACCCTTTCGCACTATTTTATCCAAATAATCATCCAGTGCCTTCTTGAATGCCTCAATTGAACCTGCCTCCACCACATTTCCAGGCAATGTATTCCACACTTAACCTACTCACTATGTGTAAACATTTTTCTCACATTTTGCTTCTTTTGCACATTACTTTAAATCTATGCCCTCTTGTTCTTATGCCTTTTATGAGCAGGAACAGCTTCTCCCTATCCTATCCAACTTGCTCATGATTTTGGAAACCTCTATCAAATCTGTTCTCAGCCTTCTACACTCCAAGGAAAACAGCCCCAACTTTTTCAACCTATCCTCATAACTTAAGTGTCTCGTTCCTGGAACCTTTCTTATAAAATGCTTCTGCATTCTGATGCTTTAGCATTTTTCCTCAACTGTATACAATACTCCAGCTGTGGTCTAGCAGATGCCTTATACAAATTCAACATCGCCTCATTGCTTTTGTACTCTATGCCCCTTTTAATAAAGCTGAGATCACTATATACTTTATTAACAGTTCTCTCCACCTGTCCTGCTACCTTCAATTATCTGTGCATGCATGCACCCGGAGAGGAGGGGAGAGGTTAAGAGGGAGAGTCCTTTGTGGTAATCGCGCATATGCTGTTGGCATTACTCTGCATTGCAAGCCAGCCACTCAGCCAATTGAAATAATTGACCTCCTATGTATCTAATCCTGTTGTGAATATTTTTTCTTATTTTGTTCATTGTTCATTCATGTGGGTGTTGTTGGCTAGGCCAGCGTTCATTTCCGATCCCTAATTGCTTAAAGGGCAACTTAGAGTCTTTGATGTGGGTCTGGTGTCGTGTAGACCAGACCAGGTAAGGATGGCAGTTTCCTTTTTATATCACAGAATCCCTACCGTGTGGAAACGGGCCCTTCAGCCCAACAAGTCCACACTGACCTTCAGAGCATCCCACCCAGACCCATGCCCCTATAGGCCACTTAATCTACACATCCCTGAACACTACAGGCAATTTGCCATGGACATTCAACCTAACCTGCATGTCTTTGGACTGTGGGAGTAAACCAGAGCACCCGGAGGAAACCCACGCAGACACAGGGAGAATGTGCAAACTCCACACAGACAGTCACCCAAGGGCAGAATCGAACCTGCGTCCCTGGTGCTGTGAGGCAGCAGTGCTAACCACTAAGCCACCTTTCTCTACAGGACATTAGTGAGCCAGATGGCTTTTTCCAACAATCGGCAGTGGAGTTAGACTCTTCATTGCAGATTTTATAGAATGCAAATTTGACCATCTGCCATGGCAGGATTCGAATCCATGCTCCCCAGAACATTACCTGGATCTCTAGATTAACAGTGTAGCGATAATAACACTAGGCCATCGCCTCCTGAGAAAGAAGCTGAGGGCCTGCACTAACACCTGGAGCAAATTCTGAGGAACTGAGGTAGCAGCAGGAACGAGTTCCAAGGGCCAGTGGCAGCAGCAGCACTGAAAATCGCAATAGAGGGCGCTGCTGAGAAGCAACTGAGGAGGATTCTGGGAGGAATCGGCTCAGCCATTTAAGAAACATTTGGACAGGTACATGGATAGGATAAGTGTGAAGGGATATGGACTAAGCACAGGCAGATGGGACTAAATTAATTGTGAAAACTGGGCAGCATGGACAAATTGGGCTGAAGGGGCGGCTTCCATGCCGTTAAACCTCTATGACCCGAGGCTTTGAGGACAGATGCCCACTTACCGACTTCCTTGGCTTTTTTTAAAATCTATTTCTGCTTTTTTTTTAATTCTGTTTTTTTGTGTCTTAGATGGTTGTTTTGGTTTTTGTATCTAAGATGGGTTTTTTTTTATTTTAAATTTGGGTTTCTGTACCTAAGATGGTGCCAGAGAATGGTGATTTTGTACACTTTTCACTGTACTCCTGTACTTGAGTACACGTGACAGTAAAATCTAATTCTAGTTCTAAAGTCACCATAGTCCCAGAAGATCATAGGCTGCTCTCTCGTCAGAAAGGGAGATAACTGGTGGCGAAGTGTGGATTGAGAAGGCAGGACTTTCATAGTAGCCTCAGCCTGTACGGAAATTGAACCTGTGCTGTTCGTGTCATACTGTGTCTCAAACCAGCCAACTTTATAAGCTTTTGGGAATGGGACTGACTGGCATGCCCTATGAAAGGTTGGCAGAACTTCATGGGCTGAAAGCCTTTCTTTTATGCTGTAGTGATTGTCTGACTTTGAATCTAACATATTTGAATATTTGGTTGATCTGATTGAACAGATTTTTCAACAGGTGCTGACAGAAGCAAAAGGATGGACACCATAACCTTCAACCCACCTTTGTACAAACAGAGATACCAGCTGGTCTTTGAATTAGTACAGAAATACAAGGCAAGAAAAGTAAGTACAGGACAACATAATGTGGGAAATGCTTAATATCATTACAGTATGCAAAGTGTCATATTGATTAAATTAGTTACAAATTCTGGTTAGATGAATGCAACATGTTTATTTAAAAACAAAGGTCTCAAAGATTTTTTTTAAATTCATTCATGAGATGGGGCATCACTGGCCTGGTCAGGATCTATTGCCCATCCCTAATTGCCTAAGGTGGGGTTAGTTAAGGGTCAGTCACATTGTTGTAGGTCTGGAGGCACATGTAGGTCAATCAGGTAAGGATGGCAGATTTCCTTCTCTAGAGGACATTAGTGAACCAAATGAGTTTTTACATTAATCAACAGTTGCTAATATTCCAGATTTTTAAAATTAAATTCAAATTTTACAATCTGCCACGCTTGGATTCATATCCCCAAAACATTGGCCTGGGCTTCTGGATGCCACCACCATCTCTGTGGCCCCATGGGAGCCAAACTGAGCAGAGTATATTGATGGGGTAGTAATTGGCCTGGTTGGATTTGTCCTCCTTTCTATATACAAGACATACCTGGGTATTCTCCACATTTTCAGGTAGATGCCAGTGTCGTAATATCTGCTTCATGATGTGTAGTGTGTTTTATTCTGAACTAAACTAATTAGCCACTGACAAGCAATTAATTATTAACCCATTATCATTAACATGACATGACCCAGTATAATCCCACTCTCCCAGTATCACTGAGTATTCCACTCAGTTCTGAAGCAGCTTTATAAGACTTTGGTTAGGCCACACTAAAAGTATTGCGCCCAGTTCTGGTTACTGCATTATAGGAAGGATGTGGAGGCTTTGGAGAGGGTGCAAAAAAGGTTTACCAGGATGCTGCCTGGATTATAGCATATGAGCTATAAGGAGAGGCTAGAAAAAGTTGGGTTGTTTTCTTTTGAGTGGTGGAGGCTGACGGGAGACTTAATAGAAGTCTATAATATAATGAGATGCATAGATAGGGTTGATGATCAGAATCTTTTCCCCAGAGTTGAAATGTCTAATACTAGGGGGCATGCATTTAAGGTGAGAGAGGGAAAGTTCAAAGGTGATGTGAGGGGCAGGTTTTTTACACAGAGAGTGGCCAGAGTCTGGAACGCGCTGCCAGGGGTGGTGGTTGAGGTAGATACAATAAGGGCATTTAAGGGACATTTAGACAGGCACATGAATATGCAAGGAATGGAGGAATATGGATCAGTGGCAGGCAGAAGGGATTTGTTTTATTTGGCATCATGTTCAGCACAACATCTAGGGCCAAAGGGCCCATTCCTGTGCTGTACTGTTCTATGAAGAAGGGTCGCATTGGACCCAAAACATTAACTTTGCCTTCTGTCCACAGATGCAGTCAGACCTGCTGAGTTTCTCCAGCATTTTGATACATTGTGGAGCTGGAGGAACACGGCAGGTCAGGCAGCGTCAGAGGAGCAGGAAAGTCGATGTTTCGGGTTGGGACCCTTCATCAGGCGTGGGGAGGGGGAAGGGAGCTCAGAAATAAATAGAGGGAGTGAGGTGGAGCTGGTGGAAGATAGGTGCGATTTTGATAGGTGGATTCAATTCGGAGATTGTGGAGAGTGGTCGTTGGGAAAGGGTGGAGTGGATAGGTGAGGAGGAAGATGGACAGGTTGTGTCAGGTCAAGGAGGCAGGGATGAGAGGGAGGGCTCGACATGGGATGAAGCCGGAATGGGGAGATTTTGAAGCTGGTGAAATCTGTGTTGAGGCCATTGGGCTGTAAGCTCCCAAAGCGGAATATGAGGTGTTGCTCCTGCAGTTTATGTGTGGCGTCATTGTAACATTGGAGAAGACCCAGGATGGACATGTTGCTGAGGGAGTCGAGATCGGGGGAGGGGGGGTGGTGGGGTGAAGTTTAAATGGCTGTCAACCAGAAGGTGGTGTTGATTGGAACGTACAGAGCACAGATGCTCTGCGAATCAGTGACTGAGTCTGCACTTGATCTCACCAAAGTAGAGGAGACCACATCAGGAGCAACGGATGTAATAGATCAGCTTAAAAGATGTACAGGTGAATACCTGTTGGATTTGGAATGATTGTTTGAGACCTTGGACAGAGGTGGGAGGGGAGTTGTACAGGCAGATACAGCACTTCCTGAGGTTGCAGGGAGAGGTACCAGGTGTGGTGGAAGGGTTGGTGCGGAGTGTGGAGCGGATAATGGAGTTGTGGAGTGAGCGATCCCTATGGAAAACAGATAAGGGTGGGGAGGGGAATATCTATTTGGTGGTGGGGTCTGATTGCAGGTGGCGAAAGTGGCGGAGGATGATGCATTGGATTTCTCCAGCATTTTCTGTTTTTAATTCAGATTTCCAGCATTTTGGCTTAAAAATCCTGCTCTCCCATTCACTTCTTATACAGTTTAATATTCCATTCAGCATCATTCCAGTCTCATAGAAACATAGAGGATAGGAGCAGGAGGTGGCTGACTCAAGAGTGTAATCCTGCTTTCTCCCCATAACCTTTGATCCCATTTGCCACAAGTGCTATATCTTGTCGCCCCTTGAATACATTCAGTGTTTTGGCATCAACTACTTCTTGTGGTAATGAATTCCACAGGCTCACCACTCTTTGGGTGAAGAAATATCTCCTCATCTCCGTCCTAAATGGTCTACCCCAAATCCTCATACTGTGACCCCTGGTTCTGGACACACCCACCATCGGGAACATCCTCCCTGCATCTACCCTGTCCAGTCCTGTTAGAACTTTATAAGTCTCTGTGAGATGCCCCCTCATTCGTCTGAACTCTAGCGAAAACAATCCCAACCTAGTCAATCTCTCCTCATACCTCAGACCCGCCATCCCCTGATTCAGCCTGGTAAACCTTCACTGCACTCCCTTGAGAGCAAGAACATCCTTCCTCAGAAAAGGAGACCAAAACTGCACACAGTATTCCGGGTGTGGTCTCACCAAGGCCCTGTACAACTGCAACAACACAGTACTCCAAACTCCATCGCAATGAAGGCCAACATACCATTTACCTTCTTTACCACCTGCTGCACCTGCATGCTTACCTTCAGCGACGGGTGCACAAGGACACCCAGGTCCCGCTGCACACTCCCCTCTCCCAATTTACAGCCATTCAGGTAGTAATCTGCTTTCTTGTTTTTGCTTCTGAAGTGAATAACCTCACATTTATCCAAATTATACTGAATCTGCCATTGATTTGCCACTCACCCAACCTGTTGAGATCATGCTGAAGGATCTCTGCATCCTCGTTACAGTTCACCCTCCCACCCAACTTGGTATCATCTGCAAACTTGGAAATGTTACATTTTGTTCCCTCGTCCAAATCATTAATATATATTGTGAATAGCTGGGGTCCCAGCACCAATCCCTGTGGCACCCCACTAGTTACTTACTGCCTGCCAATTTGAAAAGGACCCATTAATTCCTACCCTTTGTTTCCTCTCTCCAACCAGTTTCCTATCCACCTCAATATACTTCCCCCAATCCCATGTGCTTTGATCTTGCACATTAATCTCTTATGTGGGACTTTGTCAAACGCTACCTCCTGCTTACTTCCCATACGTTTACACTATCCAGTATAAACCCACTCTGCTGCTCACTTCATGTACCCTTTAATACCCGACTCCAGTGTAATCTCACTTTCTTCATTGCTTCGAATGCTCTTTAATATTTGCCTGTGTATCTATTTGTCAGCAGCGGTTTGTTGAAGTGAATGCAACATTCTGCCTGCATCTGTCCAAAGAACTGTTTTGAAAACTTGCAGTGTTCTGCTAACTGAATTCTATCTTTTTTCTTCTCTTTTTACACACTTGGCTGCTAAAGGTTGCTGCTTATTAACCCTTCCTGTCCTTATTTCATAACCTTTATTATCTCTGCATGGTCAGTGGTATCCTGAGTCCTGATTAGCTGCCGACTCATGAACAGTATTTTATCATGAGGTTGTTGACTTGCTCACTGAACTGGCTTGTTCTCGTTCAGACGTTTCATCACCATGCTAGGTGACACCATCAGTGGAGCCTCTGATGAAGCGGTGTTATTCTACTCCGCTTGGAATTTATACTGTTTGGTCCATTATGGTGAGTAGCGTCATTTCTGGTTTTGATCTGTATGGGTTTGTATACAGGGTCCAATTCTATATGTTTATTGATTGCATTACGGGTGAAGAACTATGCCTCTAGGAATTACCATGCGTGTCTATGTTTGGCTTGGGCTACTATGGTTACCTTGTTCTAGTTAAACTGATGGCCTTCATTGTCTGAGTGTACTGATATTAAGGAGAGTTCGTTGTGCCGTTTTGCTGCTAGTTGATGTTCAAATGTTCAAAGTTTTGGCAAGGATCTGTAGCTCGGGTTGTGGTGATGAATGGTGATGAAATGTCTGAACGAGAACAAGCCGGCTCGGCGAGCAAGTCAACAACCTCACCCACAACCTGAGCTACAGATCTTTGCCAAAACTTTGAGTATTTTATCATTTGTAGTTGTCTCTTAATTTCTGATTGGTTTCTTAAGGTGATGGTCATCTTACTGATCCAACTTCCCATTACTTCCTGAATATTCTGTAAATATCAGTCACTCTGAAGGGGCTGTACGATGTTTTATAGGTCAGAAGTCACATGACACCAGGTTATAGTCCAACAGGAACAAAAACAGAAGTTGCTAGAAAAGTTCAGCAGGTCTGGCAGCATCTGTGAAGAAAAATCACAGTTAACATTTTGGGTCCAGTAACCCTTCCTCAGCCTTCAGGGCAACATCAACTACAACACCACACAACCGTGCCACGGCAACCTCTGCAAAACATGCCAGATCATCGACATGGATAAGACCATCACCAGTGGGAACATCACCCATCAGGTACACCGCAGATACTCATATACTGCAGGCAAGGATGCCCCAAGGAGTGGTATATTGGTGAGACCATGCAGACGCTACAACTTCGGATGAATGGACACTGCGCAACAATCGCCAGACAGGGATGTTCCCTTCCAGTCGAGGAATACTTCAGTGG